GAAGGGGCGTGAGGGAGGACGGGGAAGGGGCGTGAGGGAGGACGGGGTGCGAAATGATGGAGGATGGGGGGGGTGGTGGTGACAGAGGACGGGGGGACCCCGAGGTAAGGAGGGGTGGAAGATTGGAGGAAGGGATGGAGGAATATGGGGAAAGAGGGGGGAAGGGGTGGGCGGGTGGCGTGAGGGTTGTTGGGGGGGGGGGGGGAAAGGGGGTGCGGGGGGGGGTTGGGGGGGGCTCGGGGGGGGGGAGGGTGACCGAGGGAGAGGAGGGTATGGGGAGATTGGAGGTAAACATTGCTCACCTTCTGTTTCTCCTCATCGAAGAAGAAATTGGACCAGTTCGGATCAGTCTGCATGAACCTGAACTCAAACACTTCACGGAGGCACAGTTCCAGGATGTTCGAACAGATCTAGAAAAGCATCAGAAAACTTTCACAAAATTAAGGATTGGCAAATCAAAAAAATATAGACTGTAGTCCTGCTCTGGAACAGCTGGCCTGAACTATGCTTTAGAACAAGAGGAGTATTACTCTGTATAAAACACGACGTATTATCCAGTTTGGGTGAAGCTGTCTCTCTTCCGGTGGCTACAGCCTCCAGGAATTTTACGTGTTGTGCAGTAAAGCAATTCGCAAGTTGTACACTCCTGGTCTGTACTGGATTCAGATTGGCAGTGGACACCGCTAAAAGTAGTTAGTCATTTGTGCTGGTGTTACTGCTTTAAACTGCCAAAGGGCAATGTGGAGGGCAGGGTGGGGGGGTAGGAGGGAGACAGCAAGTGAGAGAGAGAGAGAGAGAGAGCGAGCAAGTGAGCGAGAGCAAGTGAGAAAGACAGCGCGAGGGTGGGGGAGGGGGGAGAGAGAGGGCAGGGGGGGGAGGGGAGAGGGGGAGGGGGGAAGAGAGAGAGAGAGAGAGAGGGAGACAGACAGAGAGGGGGAGAGAGACAGAGAGGGAGAGACGAAGTTCCCAAGGGGTTTTGAGGCGTGGGGAAGACAGCAAGCTTGAGGAGATGGAGAGCCAGACAGGGAGGGAACAGGAGACAGCGAGCTACACAGCCAGAGGGGTCAGGGCACAGATAGTCTACGAACAGTCCACGTGCAAACCTTATTTCGAGTATTCTGGTCTAGATCCTCACACTTATCCAGGGGCACGCCCGTCACTAACTCGGCTGTGAGAATTCGTTTTGTCGTGAGCTCATCAATTACTTCCGGAACACAGAAGAAAGGATCGTCCTTCAGAAGCTCCCTGTTGGGGCCAGAGGGCAGGCTGCAGATTAGATTCAAGTACAAGAGCTCTCACGTTGCTGTACTGTACAGGACATGGACAGGCCAAGTGGCCCCAGGTAATCACTCTGTACGACTGTGACTAGCAGCACTGTGATCACCTTCACCCAGCCCCATCTGGAGCTTCAGCAGCTTAGCCTAGCGTCAGGAGAAAGTCTGCAACATGAACAGCAAAAGTACACATCTGACCTAAGTCATAAAATCATGGAATCCTTACAGTGGGAAAGGGGCTATTCGGTCTATAAAGTCTGCACCGACCTTCCATGGAGCATCCCATCCAGACCTAGCCCCGCCACCCCCTGTAATCCTGAATTTACTACAGCCAATCCACCCTAACCTGCACATCTTTGGACTGTGGGATGAAACCAGAGCATCCGGAGGAAACCCATGCAGACATGGGGCGAATGCACAAACTCCACACAGTTGACCAAGGCACGAAAAGAACCTGGATCCTTGGCACTGTGAGACAGCGGCGCTAACCACTGAGCTGCCCCAAATAGAGGCACCTAACGTGGGGCCTTACCACCGAGGTGTCAGTGACAGGTTGTGCGGAACTGTCTCTAATCTGGGCTAGCCCTCTACCCTGTTTCACACAAAAACATTTCGATGGGGTTTCAGCCATGGCTCAGGGAGCCATACTGTCAACTCAGAGTCAGACAGTTGGAGGTTCCAGTCCCACTACAGAGATCGGGGCACAAACTCCAGCATGCCCCTCCCAGTACAGTACCAAGTGAGGGAGTGCTGCACTGCCATAGGCATCGCCTACCCGCTTCACGTGGGTACATAAGATCCCACTGCAGGAATGTAACAAGAGCTAGGTTGACTCCCACACTGTTCTGGCTGATATTTAACCCACTGCCATCATCACATAAACAACGTGGCTACAAACGCAGCTCAGAGGCAAGGACTCCTGCAATGAGCAACTCACATCCTGTCTCCCCAGTGCCTGTCCACACCTATGAGGCCCCAATTAGGAGTGTTACGGATTTATCTCCAGTATTTGTTGTCCATCCTCAACTGCAACTGGCTCGCTTAACCATTTCAAAGAGTCAACAACATCACGGTTCGTCTGGATTCACACGTGGATCAGACCAGGTTAGGGATGACAGATTTCCTTCCCGAAACACATTACTGAACCAAATGGGTTCTTTACAACAGTCAAAGGCAGTTTCATGCTCATCATCGTTGGGGACTAGCTTTGAATTCCTGATTCACAAATTGAATTTAGATCCTTCCAGATACTACACTGGGATTTCAACCCAGTGTCCTGACAATATTAACCTGAGTCTCTAGATCAGGGCGGCTTGGTGGCTCAGTGGTTAGCACTGCTGCCTCACGGCGCCAGGGACCCGGGTTCGATTCCACCCTCAGGCGACTGTCTGTGTGGATTTTGCACGTTCTCCCCGTGTCTGCGTGGGTTCCCTCCGGGTGCTCCGGTTTCCTCCCACAGTCCAAAGATGTGCAGGTTAGGGTGGATTAGCCATGGGAAATTACCCGTAGTATTCAGGGGTGGGTTATAGGAGGATGGGTCTGGGTGGGATGCTCCAAGGGTTGGTGTGGACTTGTTAGGCCGAAGGGCCTGTTTCCACACTGTAGGTAGCCCAGTCCCTCTATGTCAGTATCTTCTGGCAAGTCCAGACTGATAAGTCAGCAAGTGAAAGGGCGATGTATGAATATGACTTCGTGCAAGACAGAATGTGGACAGCAGAGTTTTTGAAGGAAGAAAAGTGTTGCTCTGTAAGTATTTCCCACACAATGGCCTGGGAGATAAATCAGAACTGCAAAGTGAAGTCCAATTCGTGAGGAAACAGTACCACCAAATGGTGAATGACTGAAATACAGCCGCTGGATCTCATCCTTTAAAAGATGCTGCCAGACCTGCTGAATTCCTCTAGCAATTCCTGCTTTTGTTCGTTTCAGACTCAAACAACTCTATGACCACCTGGTCTTACTGCAACTGTACAAGGTGCTAATGAGACCGCACCTGGAATAGTGTGCGCAGTTTTGATCCCTTTATTTAAAGAAAGATATCACTTCATTGGAGGCACTTCAAAGCAGGTTCACAAGGATAATGAGATAACAAGGTGTACAGCTGGATGAACACAGCAGGCCAAGCAGCATCAGAGGAGCAGGAAGGCTGACGTTTCGGGCCTAGACCCTTCTTCAGACCTTTC